GCTCCGTCGGGGACCCGGGCGGCAGCCCCGGAACCCCGCGGGCGGTGTGGCCCGCGGCGCCGACGCTGCGGCCCGCGGCTGTGTTTCGTCACAGTGGAGGCAGCCTTCCACTTTCACCGCATTCTTTTTTTTTTTTTTTTTTAAGTTGTCAAAATCTCCTGAGCGGCCTTGTTTTCTGTCTGTATAAATAATCAGATCCGATAACGTTTTTACCTGCCAGGAAGCTGGAGGGATAATTACCTCTTAAGTGCTTGCAGAAGTTGGGATGCGCAGAAGCAGAGGACTGACCTCTCCGGGTCAGCACTTGCAGGGTGGTGAGACTGGCATTCAGAATGCCAGAGCAGTGTGGTTAGTTCACAATGTGTATTTTAATATTAAAGGAACAAACATGGAAATGAGATGACATTTCCAAGCCGTAAAACAACTTCCCTGCCCTATAAAAACTGTTCAAGCTGATTTATGACATGAAGGTTGCAGAACCCTAGAACTGGACCCGGCATGACCTTGAGAGGCTGGTAGGACCACAAGTTGCATGAGAGGAAGGAAGCTGAGGACCAGAACAGAGCCTCTGGACCCAGATCCGAAGCTAGGGGCGCGATGGAGAGGCACAGGACAGACCAGAATTAGCCGCAAGTTTCACCTGGGTCCACAAACTGGGTATGAACTGTTCCACCAGGCTACATAAGTCTTTGCTACTGGCTCATCTCGGAGGCAGAGCTGAGTGTGGTTCCCGTTTTCTTGTCATTTGACCTACAATAAAGCTTTTCCTTTGCAAAAGCCCATATACATAGTATTGTCTTCTGTGAACCTCCAGCAGTGATGTGCTTTCTCGCACGTCTTCAGAACTGACCTTCTGTCCTGGTATTGAACCCTGACTGGGGTGTCTCTATCCTGTTGTAACAAGATTTTCAATTGCTGAGAAACACATTGCAGATATTCTGCTTGGTGCCACTTCCTGGTCAAGAGACTTTTAGCAGCTCGACCTTTGGCACACTGCTGAACAGAGAAAATTGTTAGGAAAGTTCTGGCTCCTCACTTAAGTACGACTTGTGTGTCTTCCTCATGTCTTTTTTCTTTAAATTTATATGACCAAAATTTGCAAAATGTATCATCCATTCCGTGTGTTTTCTCTCTTATGTCTTTTCCCCTTTCGAAGAGAACTGCATATGGAGGCGGAGAAGGGTGGCACATATTGTGTTCTGTGCTTGTCCTTATGTAACCACATTTCATTCTAGTATCAGCGAGGTCTTACTATCCCTTTGGATTGTCTGGACCATCCTTATTACCTGTGACTTAATTCTTAGATCTGGGAATGTGTGGTAATTAAAGTTAAAGCACAACTATTCAAGGAAGACTGCATCATCATGTAGTTCAAGCATTGGCTAAGGTAATGCTGGTAGTGTTAAGCTAGTGCTGAATAGTGGGGCAGATAGGGTGGAATAAGTACTAGGAAATCTTCCTGTTGAGAAAATAATTATTTAGACTTCCTTTTCACAGTGGGGAGTTGGGAAAGGTGTTATAACACTGATGCTTAATTTATAAAGGGACTGCATCCTCCTTGGGCCAGCTAGACGCTCCATCCATATTTCAGTCTCGCTCCATAGTTCATATTCTTCTTTGGCTGATTGACCTACCTTTAGGTGTGCTGCTACTTCTGGATTTATTCCTTAAGTCAAGTGTCTTCATGGTTGTTTGAGTTGATATGGCATTTGTAATGTATTGATTCCAAAGCAAGAGGTTGAAAAAACTGGCTTAGATGGATCTGAAACCACGCGTTCTTCAAAGGACATATGTAAAGGAACTGTCCTCTATTTCTTTTGTTTCATTTAGCTTCTGTTTCTGATTACTTTTTGCTTTATTTTTCAGTCTTCCTTAACCTTACTTAAGATGGCTATTTTTGCAGTTACTCATCTGAAGTCTTTTCTTCAGAGATCCCATCCTTTGCATAATTTGTATTATAATTTTTTAAGCCTTCTTTGTTAATGCCTCCACCTTAGAAATGATTGAGTAAATAAAGTAGGAAGTTTTAAAAGGTTCCGTTTCCTTAACCACTTCCCTAACCAAGAATTGTTTCATAGTGATCTGTTCTGCTTTTTAATTCTGTATCTTTAGAAGTCATAATAAGTAATTTTGAATTGTACTGAAGCGATACAGTATCTGGGGGCCTTTTATAAACAGTGTAAAATGGAAGTATCAGCATGACAGAACAACTTTTTATCAGAAACATTTTATATTTTTGTACAAGGAGGGAAAGTCCTATTTAGAGTAGTTTTTCTTATATAATATGACAAGACTCTATCCTCAAGAAAAAAATCAAAGGTTTTTGGTTCTTCTTCTGTTTCTTATACCTTGATGCTGTTCTTTTCAAGCCACATTAATTCCTAAAATCATTGTATGTGAATGCCCTCCAAAGGCCTAGATCTGGGGGAGGAGATTGCCAAGTTACAAAGAAAAGATAATTCAGACTAGAGAATGGAAAACCTCAGAAGGTTTCAGAAAATCTCCTATACCTGTTTCTAGGCTTATGAGAATATATCAGCATTTAACTAATCTTTAGGAAATGAAGTAAAACTAAAGCTTGAGAGTGCTTTTCTAGTATAGTCATAAGAGACCTGGGCCCGAACGCTGTAACTCAAGCTTCTTCACTCATGAAACTCAACAGGCTGTTCTCTGTGCCAGCTGCCCTGCCTCTCTAGGAGGCTTTCTTTCAATTTTATTTTATTTATTTATTCATTTTTTTCCAGAACTGGGGATTGAACTCAGACCCTTGCACTTGCTAGGGAAGTGCTTATTCCACTGAGCCATCTCCCCGGCGGCTTTCTTTCATATCCTATTTTCCATCTTGGTTTTTGAATCTATTTCAGATGTATTGGCGTATTGTGAACACTACTGTATATATTTTTCCACAAAGAAGTCATGGTAAGTGTCCTATTTTGAGATTTGAAGGAGGAGAGTGAAAGACTTTTATTTTCTAATTATAGTATTGTAAGTATAATAGAGGCATTAAAAAAAGTGGAAATAAAAACTATTGGCTATTAATAAAAACAGAAAACAAGAGACAACCAGGATACAAATAACTACTTACACCTTATCAAAATGTGCGCTTCCTAATTTTGTTCAGTAGGTTTGACTTGCCATGGAAAGAAGGGGGTGCTGTTTTTGTGGGGGCGGGGTTTGGCCCTGTGGGGGGCGGGGGAGGGCCTTGTGGGGGCGGGGCCTTGTGGGTGGGTGTGGTCTTGTGGGGGTGGGGCTACCCCTGTGGGGTAGGGCTGAGAGGCCAGCCTAGCTATGTTTGAATCCTGGCTGCAGTACTTATTAGCTCTGTTCTGCTCGCTAAATTACTTAATCCTCCTAATCTGTAAAATGGAGATAATAAGACTACTAAATACATAAGGTTGTTGTGAGAAATAAATGAGTGTATGTGTAAAATGTTTGACGTATTAATTCATTAGAGCAATGTCCGACACTTAGCACTTAATTTTTAGCTAACATTTCTGTTATTACTGATCATTCATAAATGCTATTTTTTAAACTCGGTGGTCTTCCTTTTGCCTGTAATCCAAGCTGTTGTCAGGCACCCTTTTACTGATTCTTTCCTCCAAGTGGTTAGACTATTCACACATGTACAAGCTTTGTACATGAGAGAAGTTGAGTAAGGCCAGAAGATTATACTCATGCTGGTTGCTAAGTTAGGTTGCTTCAAAACATTCCCCTATAAGCACCCCTTTGAGGGAAGGCATGGAACTCTGCCTTAAAGCAACAGTTGGAATGCCTTGGCCAGAATTACAGTGGTTGCTGACATAATTTCCTTACTTCTCATTCCTGCATTCAAACCATTTGACAATTTCCTTAAAACTTTTTAAACTTATGATTAATAAACCCAGAACTGTTGCTCATTTTCTCTCCTCCTCCTGCTCCTGTCACTAGCTACTTTTTTACACATAACTTCCCAACTTGTACCGCAACATCAAAGCATCTGGTTTCTTAAATAAACAGGCTCTGTAGAGAGGCTGCGCTGTGTATGCTGTCAGCTCTGAGAAGAATGTATGTGTTTGTTTGCGACGCTGGCAGGCCTGAATCCAGGCTGACAGGACTGAATGTGCCTGCTGGAGACTTCGGGAGCTGCTGTTCATGGCCTGCTGTTGAGGGTCACCAGACCAGACCCTCTTAACACCCGGAAATCTGCAGGTCAGGCAGAGCCTTCCCTGCCCCAGAACTTCCTGCCTCACTCACTCCAGTGCTTGGCCTTTCTTCATCCTGCCTTCTGGAGCACTGGCTTTCACCCTTTAGTCTTTTCTATTCACTTTTGGGTCAAGGCATAGGAGTTCTGGAGGCTCGCTCTGCTTGGTGGAACAGTATTCTCAGAAGTGAACAAAATTCTCATGAAGCATCCTCTCCCATGCAGTACATCTTGTTCAAACCTGTAATGTCCTTAAGCATGAAGAAATGACATGAGTGTACCTGGGATTCCAGTGAGAACTATCGACAGATTGCATGACGTCTGATTTATGTGGGAAAATGTTAGACTTCATCTGAGGTTTGGTTGGAGTGAAGGTAGAATGCTAGCCAGGTATGACAAATGGCTCAAGAAGAACACAGTGTGACAATTGGGTAACCTCTGCTGACTAGAATATTTGGCTGTGAGCCTGCTGATTTTTAATTAGAAATTTGACTATCTTTGCTATAAAAATTTGGAGGAGAACTCTTGTTCTGGTCAGGTTCTAATATCTTTTTTAGATTTTTTTTTTTTTTTTAATGATAATAGGCTCTCCACCTGGTGAATAGCTTCTTCTGCACTCTGCCCATTTTCAGTCAGCTCTGGTTGACAGACGTCAGGCTCTTGTCTCGAGAGGTGACTGCAGAGACAGTGCTTCCCAACTTTGGGCTAGTTGGCCTGCTGTCCTCACATACTCGCTGCATATCAGGCAGTGCTTAGCACTCAGATGTAGGAGTCACCGGGTGAGCAGCTTTCCCTCTCCTCTCCCTCCTCCTCGTACCTATCTTCCTCTCAGTTTCTGTCTTCACAGAAAGTGAACTGCATTTTGAGGCTTGCAAAATGTCATAAATGATGTTTTATATGGTTAGAAGCTAATGTCTTAAGACAGAAAAGATCGCTTTCTGCTGGTGGACACCGCGGAGGAAGCATCATCAGGCTCTCTTCCTACTGCCGTCATGTCTAAGTCAGAGTCTCCCAAGGAGCCCGAACAACTACGGAAGCTCTTCATCAGAGGGCTGAGCTTTGAAACAACTGATGAGAGTCTGAGGAGCCATT